AGGAGGAGGAGGAGGAGGAGGAGGCATCAGTGGTGGTCGCGGTAGTGCTCTGGCGGTAGTGGTCGCGGCCGTTCGCTTATCTATTTTGCAGGTCGATGTGCATCCCGGCCGAGTGGACTGATGGGCCGGCTGCCCAGAAATTCCGGTCTTCAGCGCATGAGCATTCGGTCTGTCGGCTCTTACCGGGTTCTGCTCTTGGTTTGGGCACATACAGTATTAAGACCGGTATGATATACTGTAGCCATATGTAGTAATAGGCACAGAGTACAGGCAGTAGTCCTGGGGGCATTGGAATACACGACTATTTCTGGAAAATGTAAATTTGTGTTCTGTTACTAGTAGTCTCTTGTTGATGCACCCAGCAGCAGAGAAGCCGTTGCATTATGCAGATGCTGCTGATGTTGTCGTCCTCGACCTCGTCCGCGTCGTTCTTGTACTGGTCCTAGTCGTGGTCCTGGTCCTGGTCCTGGATTTCTATGCACTTCAGCGCCTGCACACTCCCCTCGGCCCAGAACCCGATGCAAAGCCCCCTTGAACCCTGAACCGCCAGAAACCCGCAAAGGTTGAACTCGGGATCGAGGTTACTGCACTTCAAACACTTTGTAGTGGAACGAACAAGGTAATTATGCCCAACGGGGTTTGTTGCAACCCCAACTATGACCTGCTTGCTGATCCCCTTCACCTCAGACCCCCGATGTCTTGACCGTAACTTCGAAAGCCTTGACCTTCAACAGCCCCAAGCTCTTAACCACTTTCTCGGAGATCCGTCCAGCTTAAAATTGGGTTTAAAACTTAAAACCCTCTGAGCCCCCTACTGCCGTCAAATCCTCAACCCAATGCCTTCATGCCGAAACAGTCCATGATAGACTTTTGCGAAAGATGGATAATCGTAGTATACCTCAAGCTAGCATAGCTTGCCTGTTGTTTGTAGGGTCCGTGAACAGCCTGTATAGAAGATTCATGCGAGACCCCACAACAAGAGTGGGATATCACAGCCACAGCTTGCGGCAGTATGTCAGTATGTAAAATCTCCCAGGGCTTTGTCCGAAGCTGAGAAGCCCCTCACGGGTGAACCCGATATGGAGGAGGCGCTCAGTTTCCACAACTAGGGGCTTTCCTGGCTTCGTGGTTTAGGATTTGGTGTTTCGTGCTTGCTCTTATAGGTGTTGGAGTTGGATTTTGCCCCATGGCATTCCTGGGCGGCTCTCAAGCCAAGGGATTTGCGAGGTTGGGTTGCTGGACCCCAGACCCTAAGTGCAGAAGGCGTTTGCCCAGATATTTACACCGCCGCCACCGCTACCGTAACCACTGTCACGGCTACTACTACGTACTACTACGTACTACTACGTACTACTACGTACTACTACGTACTGCTACGTACTACTACGTACTACTACGTACTACTACTACTACTACTACT